CCCGGCCGCTGAAAATTGGCAAATAATTCTAATTAATTAATGTGTTAATTGCGCAATTCTTTTATTGCGTAAAATTAGCGTGAAGAAAACGTGGCGCCTTGCAAGAGTGCCTTACCTCAAAAGTCCCAGGTAACAATGCCTCGTGGTGATTGCAGTACTGTTGTTTGGTGTCACTTTGTTATCAGTTTGTACTTACTTCTTCGACTACTCTGGCGAAACCACCCGGGGCACCTACCCTGTCAAAAAAAAATTTTGCCTGCCTACCTTCGCAGTTATCAAAAAAACTCGTTCCAACACCGATAAATACGTTTTCTTTAAACGTAAGTGGCGTCGTGTAGTTCGAGTTCATAGTGGAGTTACGTTTTGTATTACGTGATCGCACCTTCGATCGCACCTGCAATCGGGCTGAGCCTCATGTTCCTGGGTTGTGGTTAAGCGCCCAACTAGTTTGTCACCGGATAGTTGTCTCTAAAATAAAAAGTAGTCCTAAACCTCTTATCCTCACTAACCCAGTTAGTGACCGTGAAAAAATAAAATAAAATTCTACCATGTCATGTGAAATACAACCTGATAACATAATACAAACCAACCACGTTGACCGTACGAAATACAACTTTGACAAATAACAAAACGGTTGCCAATAAACTCTCTCAACCTGCTTACATAATTAAAATTTAGTGACCACCATTTAGTTGGTTCAGACAATACCGGAGACTCGTTGTCTCTCACTCAAAAGACTTATCAGTCCAAAGGTTACAAACTTACATGAACCTTTCATAACACAAAAATGAATTTTTGTTTCAAAATATCGAATGTCGTTCCAGATGGATGATATCCGATGGACTAGAGACTTACATGATATAAGGATTTATACATAACGATGTGAAATACCGTTTTTACGAAAAAGAAAACCAGAACCAATTCTTGGTGCGAACTTTTTTTTATTTTTACAAAACAACAATGAATATAAGTCAGTAATAAGTTACCATATGAGGTTAGGTACACTTTTTAAACGAAGAGCACAAGAGTCCAGTTTATCATATACCTAATTTTACGCTGAATAAAGCAATTAATTTAATGTTCCGACATTAATTAATCTAATTAAAAAATTTGCTCGGCCGGGATAAATATTGTAATTATTATAAAAAAATTGGTCTAGGGGCTAAAAAAAAAAGGGCTAAGGTTAGAAAACTTTTAGGCACTAGCCGAGCTAGGGCCTACCGCTAGCTAGTAGAGGATTGGCATTACGTGTTTGTGTAGGGGAGTCACGGTATGTATTGAATCCTAAGGGCTAGGCCTTAGTGGCACTAGCCCCTAGCCTCGCTAGTGACACTAAAAGCTTTCTAGCCTTACCCTCTTTTTTTTAGCCCCCTAGCTCTAGAAAAAAAAAAAAAAAAAAATTGTATGAAAAAAATTAAAACATAAGTTACAATGTTTTGTTTTACTGGCAAGTTCGAGAATTTTAGTAGGACTCGGATATCAAAACCAAGTTTAATGCTTGTAGTACAACACAACGAAGAAAACCCGAACAAAAGTACCGACCACGATAAAAGAGTTTAGACCGGTTGTCACCCGCGTAAGATTACATCGTCGAATCGATTGCTCATGACTACTTCGTAAATAAACAAAACTAGGGTACGACGTTTGACTTGACTAGGTTACGACGAACACTTTCTTTATCTAATCATAGCGTACAACCTACTATGGTTAAACTCTGGGTGTAGACAACGGTCAGTAATTCACTAAAACATTTACTTCTTTAATTTTTCGTTAGTGGTGCCAGGTAATCTTTTGTTTCGGTTTCTTCTCCTCCGGTTTGTGTATGTGTAAACTCTACAAAGCAATAAACTGATAGAGAATAGAATGTATACAGAAGAGTCCTACTAAAATTCTGAACTAGGAGCCAGTAAAAAACTTAACATTGTAACGTTATGTGTTTTAACTTATTTTTCTTAGATCAAATCTTTTTTTTATATCTTTTTCACGATGTCTAGGGGCTAAAAAAATTAGACAGGGTTAACGACTAGAAAACTTTTAGTGCACTAGCCGAGGCTAGGGCTAGGTGCCGTACTAGCCTTAGCAGTATTCCCTGTAGAGATTATTAACATTCAGACTATACCCGTGAACTCTGCGCTTATCTACAAACATCTGTTATTGCCCCTCTCACTAGGCTAGTGCCGTGTAGGCCCCTGTAGCCTCGGCTAGGTGCCCCACTAAAAGTTTCTAACCTTAGTGTCTAGCTCTGTTATTTTTAGCCCCTAGACCTAATTTTTTTGATCATAAATAATATAAACTAAATGATTTGTTATCGGCGGCCCTGAGCAAATTGTTTAATCAGAGTTAATTGTAATGGTCCGAAACATATTAATTAATTAGTCTGCGTAAATTAGCGTAGCAAATTTGGTATAATTATCTTATGAGAATCTGGTGATTCCTCATCTAGATAGATCTCTAGCGGTATAAAATAAATGTTGATTACCTATATACCGTCATATGGTAACCTTATTACTTGACTTGATATATATAAAAGAGATTACGAAAATTCGTTGGAAAAGTTTGTAATGGAAATGTAAAAAAGAATCTCTACCAAGAATGCGTACCTTGGTATGTCTTTACACATTAAAACGTAGTTTCACAGTCGTTATCGTATAAATATCCTAAAATATTAACTTGTAAAGTCCATTATAATATCCCTTCGTGATGATCCACATAAGCCATCTGAGACCATATAGATATTAGTAGAACAAAAGAAATATCTATCTTGTAGATAGTAGAAAAGTTCATGTAAGTACTTGTAACCTTTGGGGACTGATAATCCCTCTTTTGTAGAGAGACAACGAAGTGCTACACGGGATATATCTGACTGAAAGCAACTAAATGATTAGTACAACTACACTTGTCTGAGTTTGGCAGTTATGTTGAATGATCAAGTTGGTTAGAAGAGAATCCACTGTGAACCGGTCTTGTTATTATTGTCTATAGATTGTATTCTATTCACGGGTCAAACGTGGTGTTGTATTATAGAGTTATCAGAGTTGTATTTCACATGACATGGTAAATTTTATTTTATTTTTTCACGGTCCTAACTGGAGCTTAGGGAGGATAAGAAGGATTTAGATAGGACTACTTTTTATTTTTAAGACAACGTATCCGGTGACCAAATAGTTGCGCTTAACATCAGCAAAACCATAGATGCAGGAACATGAGGCTATCAGCCCGAATTTAGCAGAGAGTGAGCAGGATCTGAAGGTGCGAGTTCAGTCTGACGCATATACAAACGTAAACTATCCTACAATGATACTCCGAACTACAAGGAGCGCCTATACGTTTAAAAGAAAAACGTATTAATCGTTTGTTGGAACGAGAATACGTGCAAAGGTAGGACAAGTGCAAAAAATATCTTTGTCTTATGTTCGAGCACAGAGAGGTGAGTGGACCCCCACGAGGTCTGTTTTGTTTAGCGAGTAGTCGAAGAAGTAAGTACAAACTGATAACAAGTGCCACCACGTCTTGATCACACAGGCATATTAGCCATGGGACTTTATAGGTCACTCTTTGCAGGCGCCACGTTTTTTATTCACGCAATTTCAGCAATTAAAAAATTGCGCATTAAAAACACATTAATTAATTAGAATTAATGCGCCGCCATTTTCAGGGCGGGATCAATATTTGTTTTTACTGGTACAAGTGCAGATTCCAGTAGGACTCCGGAATAATAACCAAATTTTTAAATGTGTTGTAGTACATACACAACGAAGAAACCCGAACAAAGTATTGGACCACGAATAAAGAAGCAGTTTAGACGTTGTCTCACCCGTCCGCGTCAGATTATCATCGTCTCGCTTGTCGTCCATGCAGTCGACCACTGAGCCCTCAGCCCTGTCTCTTTTACAGTCCCTCAAACCTTCATAATATTGAACTTTCGCTTCGTCACATTGTCGGCTACGTTACAAACGTCCGCCTCCAAGGCGCCACCACTTTTCCTTGTCTCGATGCAAGTTGTACCTGGTTAGATTATGCGGTGTGGCTCTTTGTTTGTGGTTGTTGTGGGGCTGCCCATGTGTGCCGGTGAGNGCAGCAACTTCGTAAGGCACTCGTGAGGGCATCTTGTCAAATCGTGTCATCTTCGTGTTATCATTGGTGCCATCGGGCATTCCCCCTCACTCTGAACGGGGCGAATGCCCGATGGCACCGATGATAACAAGATGCCCTCATGATGGCCTTACAAAGGGCAAAATTGACTCACGAATTCAACACGAAAATGAACCTTCGCAAGGTCCTTCGGCAATTTTTTGGCATGCCAAAGATTTTGCCACCGCTCACGAAGTTGCTGCCGGAGCCTGAGCAACTCCACCGGCGTCATACGATGGCTTAAGATGCCCTCACGAATGGCCCGATGTTGCTACGATCAGAGCCGAATTTGAACATTTCCTTTATCGTGTGTCGATCTGGTTGCTTTATTGCACAACAAAATCATGTAAACATATTATGTAAATAACCCAATTTGTGTTCTGTGAAACTGAAAAGGATATCATATATTATTTTGAAGGCGAGTTGACAGGAAGTTGTTGTTGCTATGGAAACAACATTACGGAGAAAACTTAATATCTTCTACATATAAAGACGGAGAAAGTAAAGAAAAAAGTCTAAAAATATTAGTACAGTATCATAGTACTTTAACATAATTGTTTTTGTTTCTTTCGTTGCAGTTGTATGTCTTAAATGTAATGTAAATGTTGCCTTCGTGTGTGGTTCGGGGCCATCTTCACAATTACATATTCGTGTGTCCATCGGGTGTCAATTTCGGGACAGTGTGACGCGGTCTTTACAATTGCTTTGTCAATGTATCACCTCCACTAGCTGTATGATGATTCAAGAGGGGTCATTTGGTTGGATGTTTAGTTAAAAAAAGAAATCCCTTATAAATATTTGTTCTCAAGTCAAATAAAATGCTGATTATGCATCCATGCTTTTTCATCAGGAACTCTGTTATCACTAACCTCCCTGCAGGCTGTGGGCTGGATGAACTTCTGGTAGATTCCCTCTGCTTTCCAGCCCAGGTCGTCCATTGAGGCAGTCGACTTAAAGTCTTCACACGAGAGCCAGAAGTCAACGTTTTCTTCACTGAACTCTGACTTCAGGAAGCTGCGGAACGCTGCTAAATACTCTGGGGAACATTTGTATAATGTCAATAGAACACCAACAATAACAATAATACACATAATAATAATAATAATAATAACAACAGCAATACAAATTATTTTTGTGATATTTTTATTATATGAAAATAAACCATATAAAAAAAAAAGAAAGAAAGTAAAATGTCTTACTTTTATCGCGTAGCAACTCTTCAAGAGTCGGGTAGAGTTTATGATCAGTCTGACAACTGTAATAAAGAGGGATTTGAGAATTCCATTTCTAAAATGTTATGAACAATCAGAACATTGAGATATCAATGAAAGTGCCACGTAGTCTACCTCAGGTTTGAAGGATATGTTTCATCATTTGTCTTTTGAACCATGTGGCACTGGATGTCCATTTTACGCCTATTTCGATTAAGAATAACATCAGACCTGCAAAACAAATGAAGTTGAACTTAGTGTTGTAAAGTTTCACATTTGAACAGTGTTAGAAAGTAAGCCTATGCACATTACTCAAATAACTTTGATCATTAGACTCTTTGGCTTACCTTCTGGGTCGCTTCACGTTTTGCATCAGATCTTTAATTGTATAGAACCGTATCTTTGAAAACAAAAGTTTCGGCATTCTAACATCCCTGGTATATGTGTGGACGGAGTTACAATAATCCCTTGTGGTGCCTGTAAACTGTACTTTTCCCTCTAGCACCTAGCTTCACAGGCAAGGTGTTATACCAATGACGCGGAGGGCCTGCTGATACAGGTATAGATAACCGACTGCTGCTCAGACTCACTTATTGTTGTTACTGACTCACTGCCAAAGAATTCCAGTGGGATAGGATTTAGGAAGATAGAGGAAAGGGAGGGGGATTACTAAAATATATGTGTTAACCTTTTTGCTATACCATTTCTACTGAGGTAGCAATCCCTTTATTATCTCCAGTTGTAACAATACGTTTTAGCATCAAATAGAAGAGCTCCATCTCTTCAGGTATTCCTTCCACAGAATTCTTAATAAAATAAATGTGTCTTGTAACATGTGTAGACGTGTATTATCGCCTTCATAATACGTGACACTCATTTCCCATTTGAGAAAATACTAGCATTCAGTCTTCTGTAATTCTCTGCATGCACGGTTGGTTCCAGGCGCCTAAGGTGTGTCGTCAGTCACGTTGAGGAAGAAGGCTCAGAGATGACTGCCATCGAGGGACATTAAAAGTACCGTTGGACTGTGTTGAGCTAACTTGCTGCAGCTACAGCTCCCGTCTCTCCCTTTTAATAGATGAGACATTAGGCACAGAAGTTGAGAATAGCTGATCTGAATCCTTTGTTCCCATTCTCCTTTTTTCTAAAGTGAAAATATATGCAGTATTATCTGATAGGGAAGTTGACAAACGACTGAAAGACTGGCTTACACATTGGGGTTTTTCTTTTTTTGTGCCAGTCTTATCTTTTAAAGCAGTGGTTCCCAACCTTTTTTCCCAAGAGCCCCCACAAATGACTCCTGTTGGAAGTTGCGACCCCCCCCCACACACACACACGGGGGGGGGGTTGGGGCGTTCTGGCGATTTACTCGGAAGGCTTCTCAAAAATGCTACAACTGCTGTCACAAACTAGATGAATGTGAAGTATTTTGTTAAAGGAGGATGAAAGCGTAGTTAAGGAGCACTATTGGAGTGACTTTGATGGTTATTGGACTCAGGATTAATTCATTTGGATTCCCGCTGTATGAAGAAATTAAAGGACGGCGCGGAAGTGGAAACAATTCACAAAGGGATTAAACTGTTTAAAAACACATGCTCAAAGTAAGCCGGATTTTGCCGATGTGTTTATGTGGATTCGAAAGTCGTAAATAATCTACAAAATGGAGGAGACCGATCTGATCGGAGCAACTGTGACAAATAATCCAACTGAAACCGGCATGGACAATGACTATGTTTTAAAAATGCGCTTATCCAGGAAAGCCTGGTTTGGACGTTTTACAGGCAGAAAAACATTTTTTTAAAGAAAGAATGATACATTTCTGTCTTTTTATGCCTTTAGCTACTAACGTGAATTGTTCCATCCATCCATCTTCTCCCGCTTATCCGTGGTCGGGTCGCGGAGGTAGCAGTTCCAGCAGAGAGCCCCAAACTTTCTTTTCCCTGGCCACATCAACCAGCTCTGACTGGGGGATCCCAAGGCGCTCCCAGGCCAGCGAAGAGATATAGGCCCTTCCCCTGAGCCTCAACCTTGGCCGAGGAGAGAGCGCAGCTTTCCTCCGGCAACTCCACCAAGCCCGGGGATCAATCCTACGGGTGGACCCGCGGAGGGATCCCTCAACAAGGTCCGTGCAGGTCGGGCCCTTCTCTGGTTCCCCATCTGGATTCTTGGTCTA